GCCGGCCGCCTGCGATAAAATGCGAGCCGGAGCGAGGAGCAGACCCAGAGGGAAGGGGGCGGGGGAGGCTGGGAGCCACCCGCTGCAGAACCGGCCCCCTTTCGCCTCCCCCGCCCGCGCCCCCTGCGCGCACACCCGCGGGCACACTCGCACGCAGATGCTAGTGCACACGTGTGCACGCAGGCACACGCACAAACACACACGCGCGCGCGCGCTCACACCGCCCCCCTCCCCAGCCCACCCGGGCCGTGCAGCCGGGAGAAGCCCCGGGAGCCGGGGCTGCGCTGGCCGGACCCCACTAAGCCCGTGGCTCTCCCGTGCCCACGCCGTTCCCGGGGAGCTGACACCCCCCACAGCTGCAGGGCTCGGGGGGGCCGGGGCCGTCCTTAGGGAGCCCCCAAATGCGGGGGGAGAAGCCCTATGCCGGCCAGGGGGCACCCCTCTGCTCCCACAAGCAGCAGGGTGGGGGGCAGGAGGAGAGGTGGCACCAGGAGGGATGTTGAGGAGCCCCCCGTCCCTGGGGAATAGCTCCCCATTTGACCCCCAGGGTCTCTTTCTTAAGGCTGGGTTTGCTCCCTGCCAGACCTTACGCTCCCACCCTTCTTACACCCCCCAAAAGCTCTCCCCTGGCCTCTGCCTTCACCACACACCCACCAAATCTCACCCAGTGGGATGGCAGTGCCCACATCTTGGGTTCGCTGCTCAGCCAGGGCTCACTTGGGTTTTACTGTTGCTTTCTAGGGCTTGTCTTGGTTTGTTTTGGGGTTTTTCTTTTCTTTTTTTTTTTTTTTTAAGTTGCCTTTCCCTTTGCAGATCCCAGGCAGGCTGTCCCCAGCCATGACCAGACTCAGCTACTCACATGCCAGGTTTGCCAATGCCAGGGGACTGCAGCCCCACAGCTCTCCCTGCACCATGGTACTCCAGGGAGCATCACCTTCCCCAGCCCGGAATCTCCCCCAAGCAGGGCTGTGTGCAAGGCAAGGAGCACTATTTTCCTCCGAGGTGCAGCCGGGATCTTCCCAGACACGCTGGCTTTGCCTTCTGCCCCTGGCAGGAAAACAGTAGGAGCCTTGCTGATGCTGCAGGAGGATTTCCCAGGGGCCACAGGAGCTGCCTGCCCCCAGTCTCCATCCCACCTGCCCCCTGACTTTAATGCCCTTCCCAGGGAATTACCCAGACTGTTCCCATCTCTGGGTTTGGGGGGGACAGGTTTTTTTTTTCTCCTCCACAGCAGCTGACACAAAGCTGCAGTGCGACAGGAAAGCAACGTTCCTTTTTTTTTGTACAGGCACAGAGCAAGAAAAAGGGGCAGATTTTGTTCTGGGCAGTGCACCTAGGTACCCCTGGAAGATGCCCTGGCAAGGGCACGTTTCAAGCCCAACAGGCTGATTTACCCAGTAACACTAAGTGGTCCTCTCCAACCAGAGCACTCCAGCTCTCCATCTCCTGGCTGTACTACGTCTTTTAAGGGGGCGAGTCCCATCTGCTTCAAACATGATGGCACAGTTCAGAAAACATTAAGGCTCCACCATAACCCGTGAGGTTGTGTAAGTGGGGGAAAGGAAACTCTCAGCTTGTAGCCACATTCAAAGGAGAATGTAGCTCCTGAACAAGAGCTTTTTTGATCGCACGTGCTCCCCCCACCGATCTCTGACCTCATGCTCCCTAGCCTTATGTCTCAGGTTGGTAGTCAACAGAGCAGCTCCCCACGTGTGATGTTTGTTTGCGTTTTGCCGTAACTCTGTAAGTTGGGAGCATCTCTCATTTGTTGGGTATTTACTGTTTCCCTGTGTTAGGGGAAACTTTGCAGGGGCAAGAAAACAAACCCCTGAAGGATGTCACATGTGGAAGATGTATTCGTTGCAGCACCAGCTGACGGGCACATCTACAGCCTTGAGGGACAGGGGAGGGAGGGCTTGCTTCTCCATTAAATGGAGTTAATTTATTTTTGATGTTTTGGGGCTTCCCAGGAGTAATACCTATAGTTCCAGGCTTAGTTTCTAGTTAGTAGCTCAGTGACCTCATTAAATAGGTCCATCCCAATTTCAAGACGATGTCCCTGCAGCCCTGCCCAGGGATCCCTGGTGGCTGCCAACCTGTCAGCCTCTCTGCCCCAGAGGAGGTGCACGGGGGAGCATTGCTGCTTCACAGCTGTGATGGAAGTGATGGCACGGGGGCCCCCAGCTCTCGGCTTGGGGAGAAAGCAAGTCTTTTCCCAGTACCCAAGGTGTGGTGGCCAACAGAGGAACAAGGGTACTGCAGCCTGAGGTGTTCAGTAATCACTTTTCTACTGGAAGTAGATACACCTCGACCTGGAGAAGATGGTTCAAGCAACAACAACAAATAGCTAAATAGGGGTCTGCTCCAGAAAACATGCTTTCAAATCCTTCTATGCTGCATTATGCTCAACAAAGGGCATCCAAGGATGCTCCATGTGCCTGCATCACGGAGCTTACTCAGAGGCCCTCCAAGGCACTGACAAACAGCACTTGTGCCTGGGCCATCCCTAATGCCACTGCACTGGATTTTGCCTATTCAGGAGCCAGTCTGTCTCAAGGGCTCTTTACCTTTCTCCCTATGAGATAAGCAGAATTATTAGCCCAGCTTAATAAATTTCAGATTTGACACAGGAGTTAAAGGACTGAGATAATTCAGGGATTTGGGATTAGAAAGTGCAAATTGCCTGGATTTATTCCAAAACTGTTTTTTTTCCCTGATAGAACCTGGCTGGGGAGGTTTTTCTCCCAGCTGTATGAAAAGTTAGTGACATAAAAGTACATGTAGTGTAAGTCTATCTTTCTGGCACCTTTAATGTTCTTAAAAATCACTGCATAACCTTCATAAATGCAACTGAAGCAAATATTAATCTCCAATTTTCATACTTAGACAAAAATATCAGATGTCAGACAGTTTGCATTGGAAAGTGGATTTAGCAGCCTAACAGGTGTTGCCTTAGCTAGTTTTTCAGGTAAGTTCAAGAAATTGCAACTCCAAATTAGATACCCACAGTGAGTGACTATAAAATCTAGGGTAACATTTTAAAGCTTTCTGTGCAACTTGTGTACTTAACTTGTGTAAGGGTTGGTTTGTTTGTTTTTCCAAAAGAGCTTTTTAAACAGAGTTAGATTCTAAATCAATACTTGAAGTTTTTCACCCCTGCTGTCAACTCAGGAATTTCAAGCTCTTGACAAGCAGTTTTTGAAAGCACAGAGCTGGTGTATTTGACTTCGGTGTATTTTATTGCCCAAGCATCTGGAGTTGCAAACCAATCAATTAGAAGGCATATTGGATTTGAAAAGTCCTATCAGCTTTCATAATTAATATTGTGAATGGTAGTAGAAGTACCAGGTTTTGCTCTAGATGTTTTCTCAGGATCCTCTACATTTGTAACGATTTATACAAACCTTAATCTAATTACAGAACTCAAGGGAAATTTATATTTTCTTTTGTTACAGTGGCACAGCCTAGGACCACATTGCAGCAGGCACTGTATTAAAACAGAGCCCTGATCCCCATTGCAAAGAGTTGCAAAATTTGATTAATGATTTTGGAGCAGAGGTACTAAGGTCCCCTGTGTTACGCAGGACTTGAGCACTGCTGGTTTGAACAAGGAGAGGAATCCCTCCTGTGCATTGATAATTACGAGTAAGATTTGGAAACCCGTCCCTGCACTGAGCGTTGCGTTCCTAGGTGGATACTGTCACCTCTGGGCAACTGGCCTGAGGACTCATTTGCTCCACAAACATTAATAAGGGATGCAAATTCAGGCTCCACATCAGGTGATTATGTTTGATAGTCAAGATGCTTTCAGCTACTGAGATACACCTAAAGCAGCGTGGGGTATTTGAGCAAGGGCTATATTTTGCAAGCTTCTCTGCTGCCTGTTTGCAATGCTGGGTAGCACGTGGCATGCATGCCATGAAAGGTATATCACACACCTGCTTTTGGCTGTGCCATTCCCCCAGGCTCTGCCACACTGCTTTTATTTTATGGCAGAGCCCAGCACAATGCAATCCAAAAAGCAGGTGTGTGACAAGCCTCTCACTTCACTGACACACATACCGCAAGCTATCAAGTACTGCAGTTTTCTCTCGCAGTTTAGATAGGCAATTACTTCCTCTGCAGTTGCCTTGTGTGATACTGTGGATCAGCAAATGAAACTACCCTTCTGATATCTTACATTTCAAGAGCAACTCAACCTCATTCCCAGTAAAAACTTCTGAGGGGGTTTTTTTTTCACGCTGAGAATGACTGTTTGTGGTAGAATTGTGGTCCGAGGAAAATTTCTTTCATATCTAGAGAAATCTAATAAAACAGCTGATTGTGTTTCAGCTTCCAAAATCACTACTTTGTTAGCTTATCTGTGGAGTCAGGTCTTCCTGAGCTCATCCATACTCATGCACTACACTAGTGTGCTAAATTTTCAGTCTCCACATTACCTTAGCAAGACCATGGGTCAGCATATATGTTACTACCGACAGAAACAGTTTAAACAGTGTTTCACCTCATAACAGCCATCCCCCCAGAACTGTGCTGAATCACCTGGGAGGCCGTATGATGTCCCACACCTGATGCCTCTTCAGGTGCGCAGCTCCCTTTTCTTTAACGAATTTATGGCAATGAACAACTTTGTTGTCCTCACTGTTCTTTCTAACAGTTTGGCTCTTCATAATACCTGAAGAGGAAGGACATTCCTGAACTAAAGAACCATTTCAAGTAATTATACTAAAGGTAGGG